CCGAAACCGGTTTGGCTCAGTGGATAGAGCATCGGCCTGCGGACTGAAAGGTCCCAGGTTCGATTCCGGTCAAGGGCATGTACCTGGGTTGTGGGCACATCCCCAGTGGGAGATGTGCAGGAGGCAGCTGATCGATGTTTCTCTCCCATCGATGTTTCTAACTATCTATCTCTCTCCCTTCCTCTCTGTAAAAAATCAATAAAATATATTAAAAAAAATAAAAATAAATAAAAAATCTATACTAATAAGAGGGTAATATGCTAATTAGACCAGACATCTTCCGGTCGTCCTTCCTGATAAAGCCACGGTGGCAGGGGCCGAGACACAGGTGGTTAGGGGTGATCAGGTCAGCAGGGGAGAGCAGTTAGGGGCGATCAGGCTGGCAGCATAGGGCAGTTAGGGGCGATCAGGCTGGCAGCAGAGGGCAGTTAGGGGCGATCAGGCTGGCAGGGGAGGGCAGTTGGGGGCGATCAGGCTGGCAGCAGAGGGCAGTTAGGGGCAATCAGGCCAACAGGCAGAGGCAGTTAGGGGCTATCAGGCTGGTAGGGGAGCAGTTAGGGGCATCAGATCGGCAGGCAGAGGTGGTTAGGGGCAATCAGGCAGGCAGGTAGGCAAGCAGTTAGGAGTCAGTGGTCCCGGATTGCGAGAGGGATGTCAAGGGGTCCTGGATTGGAGAGGGTGCTGGCCGGATTTTGTGCACCGGGCCTCTAGTATAATCATAAGTGTGGGACTGATGTTCTCTCATGAATTTTTGCATTCTAAGTGGAGGAGGCACTTCACTGTTCTATTTTAATAACTTTATAATCACTGAATTTGATAAGTCAAGAAATGGTTAAATTTACAGAAAAAATTCACCTATAGTCTTAATACTAATGTTGAAATGTTAGTGTATCGTATTTTTACTGATTTCAGTATAATTGGCAGCTAAATTGTCACTATTGTCATGCAGTCAATGCCTTGTGTTGCATGGTAATTACTGCTCAACCTTTTCTTGAATTCTCTAGACTTCCTTCCCTTAGAGCTCCTCTTTCCTTTGAAGTGGGCATTTCTAAATGCTGAACAGCTGCCAGAGCAGCTGTTTAAAGAATCCCCTGAAGTTCTCATTAAAAATATACCTTCTGGAAAGTTTCTGAGTCGGGACTTTGGAGTGTGGCAAAGGAATCTGTCATTTACAAGTTCTTCAGACGATTTGGAGAGCTAAGAGCTGCAGTCTTTGAGAGTCACTGGGCTATCGAAGAACCATTGATCCTGAAGCTGGTCTGCTCTTAAGCTCGGAGTGGTGCCATCTTATGTTTAAGTATAAGACTGTGTTGTTGCTGAAGCTACTCACATATGCAGCCCTTAAGTGTTCTGGGCTAGAAGTATCCAGGCAAACCTGGGTAACACAAACAGCAAATCACAGTTTAAGAATCTAATGAAGAGGGACTGATGAAATAGACAATGGTGTGTCCAGACAGTTACTAAAATTATGTTGTAGAAATATACTTGACCTGGTAAATGATGGTATGTAGCTGAGTGATAAAAGCAGATTACAAAATAATGGAGTTCCATATTGGTTACACGCACTGACACAAGAATAGAAGAACACGTTAATGGTAATTATCTATCCAATGTTAGTAGTGGTTATTTTCCTATAACTGCATTTTTAACTTTTAAAAATTTTAGCGAACGTGCATTACTTCTGTAAAGATAGATATTAGTGCCCTTGTAGTGTTTGTTAGATCCTTCCCACCCTTTTCCCCCCTATTTCATTTTAACATGGGAAAGTCATTATTTAAAGAAAACAAGAATGTTTTTGTGAACTTAAAAGCACATATTCTTATTTTTTCCTGTTTCATTTTGGTGGGATGGGGATGGGGTGTAGGTAGAGAAGGGATATAAATAAGAAATTGTGGAACTTGTTTGCATTTTACATCTGTGGTGTCCAATTTGGTAGCCTGTAGCCCAGGCGTGGGCAAACTTTTTGACTCAGGGCCACAATGGGTTCTTAAACTGGACCGGAGGGCCGGAACAAAAGCATGGATGGAGTGTTTGTTCATTTCAAATGGGCCGGATCCGGCCTGCGGGCCGTAGTTTGCCCACGGCTGCCTAGCCATATGTAACAATTAAGAGTGTAAAGAGTCCTGAGACCAAAATATGTGAGAACCACTAGGATAAAACAGTTTCCAAGGTACATTTTTAGAACAATTGCAGGTCAGTGTGATTGTATGTTAGCATTTGTGTGAAAAGGAGTATAAATGGGATACTTGTTTTTTTGTATATACATAAAATTCTTCTGGAAGGATATAAAGGAATTAAGTGTTGGCTCAGTGAGGAAGGAGTGAAAGGTACATTCTCTAAACCTTTTTGAACTCATTTGAATTTTAAACCAGATGACTATATTACTCCTTAAAACAAATTTTAAAACACCCCTCCTACCAGCCATGTTATACATTTCCGGGAATCTAGGTCTGTTAGGAAAAGTTGGAGCAAGTTTGGAGAAGCAGTTATTTTTCTGGCAGCTTGCTTTTTTCTTGTTTGAGAAGAAAATGAAGCTTGCTTGTTTCAAGGGTAAAAAATTTCATTTTATGTCCAAGTCAAATATATTCATGTTGAAATAACGTAAATCAAATAGGTAGCAATTTTCCCAGTAGGGCCCAAAGTATACTGAATTTAAGTTTTAAGGACGAACCATTTGATTAGTTTTTAAAAATAGTTTTTTTTCTAGGTTCCTAGTAAAGAGATTAAATTTATTTTAGGAGATTGTTATAATTTATAGTCCTGTCATTTAAAAGGTTTTGAATAAGTGCTGCATGAAATGTGGAAGCTAAGTAAATGTTCTGACATTTGATTCAGTACAAAAAGTGCTTTTTATTACTCATAACCTTTGGGGATTCTTGAAAAGAATAGCTAAGGAACTCAATTTTATTTATTCTGTCTGCTATTAAGTATGGCTTTTGATCAATGTTCATGCTTTTAACTTTGAAATAGTGTCCTTTCATGGAAAGGGAAAATTATTTTAATGTAAAAACTTCAGATTTTTTTTCAAATAATACTTCTAAAATTTATATCTTTGAATACTGAAATACCATTTCTAGAGTTCTTTGAAGCACTTTAGAGAAAGGTACCGCATGTGTTTCTGTTCATTAGTTATAGTTAAAAGTTTGCCCATAATGTAGGACCATTTCCCCAGTTTCTTTAGTTAATAAGGAATGCTTTTAATAATGTTAATGGGTTATTATGAAGTACTTGACAAATGGGTAGTTAATTCATTAAGTTTACTTATTAGTTGCGTATGCATATATAATATTTGCACATGCAAATATAGCATATGCATGTAATATTTACACAATATTTTTTTAAATCTAAGCACATCTTAGAAGTAGCATAATTAGTATTTTTTAATTTTATATGTATAGAAATTGAAATTCAGAGTACTAAATGCATTGTGTAATGTCATACAGCCTTGTTACAAAGTAAAATAATTTAGATTTTAAAAAGGCTAGGTTAGATTTCAACAAGTTAAGTAAAACTTTACTTAGATTTAAGTAAAGCTCTGTTCTTGCAAGACATGCCTTTATGTATACCTACTATGTTTCAGGCTCTGGGGTCAGCACTGAAGATATAAAGATAAGACATAAATCCTGCCCTCCTAGGACTTGGAAGTTTAGGGACAGTGGGAGAAGTGTCTAAGTGTGATGGTGCCTTGTTGAGAGGCCATATATCCCAGATATTTATGAGGAACTGATAAATCTTGAAGGATAAATGGAAGTAGCCAGGTGAATCTGTTGAGGAGGTGTGTTAAAGACTTTGTTCAAGTAGAAAATACTCAAGGAAGCCTGACAGCACACTGATACTTGGTAACTGCTAGCAGTTCCATATGATTGCTGTGCTGGGCTGTGCAAGAGGAAGAGCAGAATATGAACAGAAGGAGGTAAACAGTGTGCCCTAAATTGGAAATGTGAACTTTTTTCTAAAGGTTGTAGGAATGAATGTAAGTAGATGGAAGGACTTAGGTTGACCAAAGTTTGAGACTTAGCTCTTGGGCTTCTTAGCTGTGGGACCATAGTCAAGGGACTAAATATTTTGAGCCCCAGTTGCTTCATATGTAAAGTGGAAATAACATTCAATTTGCAGACAGTTAGGAAGACTAAGAAAATGTTAAAACACATTGCATACCGCATAGAAATCTCTAAGACATATGCCAGGGACCGCACGTTTTTGGGCAAACTGCACGTTATTTAAATCATCATAATGCACTTTAGGTGTTGTTTTTCAATAATTATAACATTTTTATTTACAAAAACAATTAAACAATTAAAGTTCCTAGTACTTTTTTAACGTATGGTACTGCGTAAAACATTTTCCTCTATGAAGAAGGACCAAACAAAATTTACATGAGTATCTAGATTCGCTCCTTTTTCCATGGGCGGCACAAACTCTGCAGGCTCTCGTAGGAAATTTTTTCTTTCCACTCGCTGGAATACACGTAGGTTCATGCTGCTTCATATCACCTGACAACCTTTTGGGTGTACAAAGGCACGTGGGGCCACGTGTTTGGACCATAGGTTCAAGCTTACAACCACTATGGCTATGATTGTGCTGGGAGGGCCCTGCCCTCCAGCTGTGACTTGCACGTGGCAGTGAGAGGACCCTGTCCTTTCATTAGTCCGAAGCTTGAACCTGGCCAAAACACTGTAACCGCGCCCCACAGTGGACAAGACAGTGTGTTGACATCTAAGGTCCATAACAGATGGCGCGTGGAAAACGAGAACACTCGTGAGCGGTCCTTAACAGATGGCGCGCGAAACACGAGAAAACTCCTGAGCGGTACGCAATGTGTTAAAAAAGCACTAGTGTGCACCAAACGTTTAAGTAGTCCATAATGGAAGCTGAATTAGAAGGAGAGATCCCTATACATATTCTAAGCTTGTAAGAAGAGCCCTTTGCATTTTAGATTGTGACAGAAGGTCTTTAAACCTGTTTCCCCAGAATGATCACATTTCTGTTCTTTCTCACAGGCCAGCCCTCCAGATCTCTATATTGAAAGATTTAATATAGCTCTTGGACAGTATATGGGAGCATTGCAGAGCATTGTGCCTCTTTTCATATATATGGTAAGTTAGAGCTTGGTTTACTGGTCTGAGTATCGAGAGTGAAGCATGTTCTATTTTTCTTTTACTATATATTATGGTAGAAATGGAAAATAATCTATTTTAGGAATGTTTGATAGTGTTGGCATAGAAGAATTTTCCGTTTTAAAATTACATAGAAAACATTGCTATGTAGATAATTAGGCATTAATATCAGTAACCACCCAATTAGCATTTATTTTATTTCTGCCATAATGGAAGATATTGTGCTTGGAAAATAAATATGTATAAGAAAGATTTTTTTATCCTCAGGAAAAAAGAGAATTAAGACATGTATCTAAAATCATGAATGCCAAGTAAGTCATTCTATAAAAAAATAGAACAATAAAATTTGCTTCCATTCTGATGATCTCTTTCATTTGGAAAATTATGCCTTGAGTATAATTTGTAGTCTGTTGACTCTGTTGATTAGTCCTTCCCCTCTTTAAATATTTAAAGTTGTAGAATCTTAATGTTAGTGTTCCTATTGAATGGAGGGGCTCATTATCTCAGTGGAGTAAAATCATTATCCCAATTCCTCTTTGTTTATTAGATTTAAGGAATGGGATGTTTAGGTTGATCCTATTTTCTATAGCATAGAGATTGCATGTTTTATACCAGTCTTCAAAATTATTATTTACTCTCCATAAGATATACTTTACTGAAAAAAACAAAAACAAAACACCACAAATTAACAACTAGAAAAAACCCCCAAAACAGAACACTGGGAGGAATTTCTATGATCAGCAGGGACTATTATTTAAGTAATTTATTGAAGATAATTACAGTTGAAAAATATGCAGTTAAAAATAACGACATGTCCATGTTATTTTAGAGAAAAATCTTCCCCAAGAGACATTAGGTGACAAAGCAAGATACAAAGCAGTGTGTAATATTTCTCCATTAGCAAGGGTTTTCTTCTTTATTAGGGAAAAAAGTATATCCCCATATTACGTAAGCCGTATTTTAGAAAGATTATACAAAGTGTCGTCCCTACTGTAGGAAGGGACCTTTGGGAAGGGGACAGAGGGTCTGCTGTGGGACAGTTCTTTTTATTGTGTAACCTTTTGCATGGTTTTAATTTTTAACCATGTGCATATTATTTTTATAATTTTTTAAAGAGAAAAATAAAACTTGTGTTAAGAATTGAGAGAATCGGCACGTTGTTAACGTTCCTCTTTGCATTTTCCATTCCTCGACATTGAGTTAACATTTACACATGGACAAATTCAATCTTTTGTGATTTGTCAGTCATTCTAATCAGGATGCTTCTGGCTGCCAGAAATAGAAGGCCTGATTCAAAGTGATTTAAATAAGGGAAAGAATTAGCTTTTGTAATGAAATCCAGATATAAGGCAGTCTCCAGGGTTGGCTGAATCTGTGGTTTAAGTGTCACCAAGGACTCAGGTTCTTTTTTCTTTCTTTTGTACACAACATCTTGGAACACACCATGTTCTCCTCATGGTGGTAAGATGACTGTAAGATACTTTTCACTCGAGCCTGGGTTTCTCTCAGTTATTGGGCTATCTTGGGTCATGTGTCTATCTTTGAACCAGAGACCATCTCTAAGGAATGCCATAGGCTGAATGGCTTAGACTAAGCATTGAATGGAGCGTATGTTGGGGAGTCAACAGTGCACGTTCAATACCTGCTTTCAGCGTAGGTCACTAATAAATGGAGACCTTTCAAAAGGCATACTCAATGCTTGTCACACAGTGGTTCCATGTGTCTGTACATCATCTCTGTCTAGGTCGTGTCAGGTATCGCCCATGTTCTTTTGGAGGTGTATGGTTCATTGCATTTCGTCTTTATGTGCTTTTACCCCCATGCCAGAAAGACATATGAATAGGGCAGGGCTTTCTATCTGTTGTTTGATGTTGCATTTTTATGTTTTGCTTGATGCTTTTATGAATTGTTTTCTAAAATAATTTATTTTTAGTGTTTCAGTTTTAGACTGATCATTTCCCTTAATGATGCACTGAAAGGTAATTTATTTTCCCTTTCAGAATAAGTTTTACATCGAAACAAAACTTAACAGAGACTTAAAAGATGACCTTATAAAGCTGTTTACGGAACATGTTGCAGAAAAGCACATTTACAGCCTAATGCGTAAGTACTTTAGCTTATAGGGGTGAGATAACACTAGCAATGATATACATAATTTTTGATCAGAGAGCACTGGCACAGCAGAAAGTGTTGAAGCCCAGCTCTCTAGAGAGAGGCATGAGGAATTGAAAATGTGAGTTGAAGATCACCCAGTGAGCTGGGAGCTGCTTGACCCCGTTACTGGACAGTGCCTTCATATCTGGCCTGACACTTGCTACCTCTCCCCCTTCCGACAATGGAGTAAATATTATCAAGGGGTTCACCCCGACTTTGTTACTGGTAACTCTAGAAGGAGCTCGGTGTGATATCTTTGAGGTGTAGCACAGAATCCTCCCTGATTTTTACTCTTTAGTGCAAAAAGCCTTCCCTCATCTAGCTCTGTCATTTTTTTTAATTTTTAAAAAAATATGTATTTTGAATTGATTTAAGAGATGAAGGGAGAAAGAGAGAGAGAGAGATACATGAATGATGAGAGAGAATCATTGATTGGCTGACTCCTACACAGCCCCAACTGGGGATCAAGTCCACAACCCAGGCATGTGCCCTGACTGGGAATCGAACCGTGACTTCCTGGTTCATAGGTCAATGCTCAACCACTGAGCCATTCTGGCCAGGCTAGAATTTCAGTTTTAAACATTATATTTTGAAAACATTTCCTATAGTGCTTAAATTAACATTTGTCTCTTTAAAATTTATCTGTGCCATTCAAAATTATAACTGTCTACTGATGATAAAATTCGAAGGATAAACTTCAACAATGCACCTTTGGCCTTCATATAAATTCAGTGTAACTCACATCTGTTTGAAACTGTGAGGTCATTGTTGGCCAAGTGAGATGGCTTTTCCATTTTAAAAAAGGCAAGAACAGAAGGAAACAGCTTGTCCAATTTTACAACCCTGGCATACAGTAAAATTATGCCATGTTTTATGGAGTATTTTGGTTAGTAAATTGCAGGTCTTAGACAAATTAAAAATGAACTGTTCTGTGTCAGGAGTATCTTTTGTATCCACTAAATAATGGAATTCATTTGTGTCTGTTAATGATGTTACCTAGAAGAATTATTTCTATCCATTTAAAAATGTTCTAATAAAATCTTTGTCCTGCAGTGGATAACCTGAAAGGAAACTGACTCTGTTGTCATGTTCAGTCAGGGTTTTATGGTTACTAGAGTTATGAAAGTGAGAAGGATGAGCAAGCGTGATCTCTCTTGCCATTACCTTTAGTTAAAAAAAAAATGTACATACAGCTGTAGCATTTGGGGAAGTCAGACCGACTCAGAAAGTCAGTCTGACTCTGTGATTGTAGTTACTGAAATTACCAATAATATGTCTTTCAGGAAAATTCCAAGAGCCTCAACTATGGTAATTTGGGGGAAAGAGAAATGATTGAGAGAATTACAGAACACTTCATCCCCCAAGTGTAAATTTTTTGAATCAGGAACATAATAGGAAGCACTTTCAGCTTACTAAGTACCATGAATACCAGTGCTTTTAGAAAGGTTTACTTGTTTCAGAACCTCCATGAGTTGAGTAATTTCCATTAGTATTTCAACAGACCTGTACATATTTACTTGTTCGAGCTCTGTTACATTGGATTTAAAAACAATCTTTAATGTATAAACTCTCGGTTTGTCCTCTTGGGCCGTTTTTTTCTTGCACTTGTTTACTCTTCCATCTTTGGGAGAAATAGTAATAGAAAGAGAGACCTTGACAATAAGTGTTACATCATTTTTATATCCCATTTTATCTTTTTATTTCAGCTTTACTTTTAGAAGCCCAGTCAACACCATTTCAGGTCACACCTTCAACTATGGCAAATATTGTGAAAGGCCTGTACACTCTCCGACCAGGTAAACTCATGCATCATTTCTTTTGGGGTTGGACTTGTTTGTGGTAGTTCCATGCCTACCCAGCAGGACAGTGTTGTTTCTCCCTGTGTTTTCTGAGGCCTAATGGTATTTGGATTGTTATGGCAAAAAATATTGAGTAGATACTCATCATTGTGAAATGTAAACTCAGGACTCAGTTGCAATTATCTCTATTCTAGAGAAAGCCAACGGAAGTACAAGAAATAATTTGTAGGAGACACTTTAGATAAAATTGATTCTCCTGTCTGGCATTAATCTTTGTCTTTTTTGTTAGGGAGTTTCTCCTTCACTTCTGTCCCACACTACAAATACTATGCATAGACATATAAATTCATAACTCCATCTTCTTTGGCCTCTTATATAACTTGCAAGCAATCAGTTGGGGGTTTTAGAAGGTATTCCCCTGGGGAAAGAGGGACTGCTTTAATTACCTTTTTGTGAAATTCTTTTATCGTTTGAAGATTCAATGAAATAAGACCTGATCTAAATTGCTTAACACAGTACCTGATAATATAATAAGCATACTAACATGAACTGTTATTACTATTCAGTTGGATTCAGTGGTTGTTTTAATTGGTGGCTTGATTGTTTGCTTAATTTAAAAGATATGTCAGAATTTAGCTTGCTAAAAATGGAAACTTGGTGAAAATTATACTAGAGGTAGAGTATGATGTCAAATACTTCTTTCTACTTTAAACAGTTAGTGACTTCTACAGTATTCAAATTTAATGTTACTTAAATTTGACCAGGTCTTGCTCCATTCTCCATAATTTTTAAACAAATTATGTGTATAAAGTACTTATATAAAGTAGCAAAAATATATTATTTCATGTGTCCAATAAACTGATGTTTTTCTTTTTGTAGTTTCTCAGAATTTTGAATTTCATTTTATTAAATGTGATGAAATGGCTCATGGATTTGTCCTTTAGCACTAGGTTATGAATGATTTATTTTATTTTAGTTTGGAAGGCATCCAAGTGCAGTTTGACAAATTTCTAAATTCTACTTCTTAAGTAGGTAGCTTTATCATAAAAGCTCTGGCTTTTAGCATGAGTAACAAGTTGCAGAATGAAAGTAATCACTATGGGTAGAAAGACTCATAGATACATGTTCATCTAAATGCTATTTTATCTAAGTTTGAGCTCTTATAATAGGATTCATACTATTTATGAGGAGAATTCTGTATTTGAGAATTGTCCTTTTCAAAAGGTGAATTGTATCACAGACTAGCCTTTTGTAACCCTAGGCATTTTCTGATATACAATTAAACATATTTTGACATTTACATGTCTTGCCTATTGTGTTCATGGTTTATTTTATTATTTTTAAAAAATAATTCTTTATTGAAAATACTTGTTCCTGGTTTATTAAAGTAGTTTTATTCACCTGACGGATTAAGGTTAAAATATTTTAAAAGTGGAATTTTATCTATCTATCTATCTATCTATCTATTTATTTATTTTTGAGTTTTTAATTTATCTTTATTTTTAAAGTATTACAGATGTTCCTCCCCCCCATTGACCCCCTTCCCAGGTCCTCACCGCACTATTGTCTGTGCCCATGGGTTATGCATATCCTATATAATAAAAGCCTAATATGCTAATGATATGCTAAGGCCGCTCAACCGCTCACTATGACGTGCACTGACCACCAGGTGGTAGACGCTCCAACTGGCAGGTTAGCTTGCTGCTGGGATCTGGCCAATTGGGACTGAGTGAGACCAGCCGTACATGCCCTGGAGCCCTCCTGTGTCCCTCCCCAGCCCCGATCATGCACTGGTGGGGGTCCTTCGGCCTGGCCTGCGCCCTCTCGCAATCTGGGACCCCTTGGGGGATGTCAGAGAGCTGGTTTCGGCCTGATCCCACAGGCCAGACCAACCCCACTGGTGCATGAAATCGTGCACTGGGCCTCTAGTATGCATATAAATTCTTTGGTTAATCTCTTCCTGCCCTCTTCCCCTTCCCTCTGAGAATCGTCAGTAAAAGTTGAATTTTAAATGTAAAAGTTTCTTTTACTATGGTGGTTCTCACATGCTGATCTTTGTATAATGAATGTATCTGGATCAACCAAGAAGGTTTTCTAAACTCTAGATTCCTGGGCCCTAATCCTTGGAGATTCTGATGACTATTATCATTTTAAGTGTGTTTTCATTTGGTCTTTAGAAGCTCAGCTTGAGAATAGTTGTAGCCATGCCATCCTGCCCTTCTTCATTTATACACACACTTTTTTTGTTGTTCATATATATTTTAATGACTACGTGGAGTTCCATAAAAGGGCAGGTCTGTTTGACTCCTGCCAGCTCACCCTGATTGGTTAGTGTTCCCGTGAGTACTGTATTGAGACTTTCTAAACCATGTTTGAGATGAGCTAGATGGAAGGAAATGATTGAGAACATTTTGCCATGAGTTTGAACAAGGGATGGGTGGATTGGCGTCTGTGTAATTTGTGGTCCTTATTTATTTGGTGGTTTTTTTTACCATCTCTAACTTGGCTGTTCTGCTGAATTTTTTACTTATCAGTGACTCAGCATTGCACAGCAGTAGTGTAATTTTTGGCAAATTTAGAATTACATTTACTCAGATTATTATTTTTAAATTGAACTCACTGGAATAAATAGAGCTTTGACATTTTATGGTTCTTGAGGTACACAGCTAAGATGTTTCCCAAGAGGGAACATTTGAAGAGGTCAGATTAAAAAAACCCAAAAGGGTAACAATGCTCAGTTAGGGCCACCAACAAGGAGTGCTGGTTTCATCACACCTGCCACAGGTGCTCATTACTTACAGTTAGAGTTCAGTGAGCAGTGGGAAGAGATTGTGTTTATTTTACTTGAGTTTTTGTGAATATTAACAAGGCTTTTATTCTATTATTTTTTATTGTAAATTATTTTCATTCCTGTCTTTCATTTATCTGGTCTTAACTGATTTGTAAAAATGCTCCATAATAAAAATATGAATTAATCATCAATGCAGATATTTCCTTAGACTTCTCTATGTCTATTTATTCTGAATGTCTACTTATTACTATCCGCACAATTCTCTTCTTGGTCCAGTGTGCCATCTTAACAAATGCTTTCTAGGGCTAATTCCCACTAAGTCTCTTCCCTCTAATTGCCCCCCACTCAGAATTCTTCAGTTATCTCGTTCATGTTTTCCTTCACGTTTAGAAGTTTTGATAAGGATCATTTAAAATTCTCTAGAGATTTTCATTAAATTTTGTTATAGTGGCAAAATGTAAAAACATCTGCTTTCTTTACACTGTAAATTCTTTTTAGAAAGGAAATTTAATCTCTTGTATGTTCTTTATCAGAATGGGATTGCACCTAAGTTTGGTTTAATATATATTTACCTTAATTTGCCTCTATGATTTTCTTAATGAATTGTTTCCTTCCCTCACAGAGTGGGTTCAGATGGCTCCAACTCTGTTTTCTAAATTTATTCCAAATATTCTCCCTCCGGCGGTGGAATCTGAACTTTCTGAATATGCTGCTCAAGATCAGAAACTTCAAAGAGAACTTATGCAGAATGGTTTCATGAGGCAAGTTTTTTCCCCTTTGTGACAAAATAACATCAGTTTCCTTAGGCCAGTTTGGCTTGGCAGGGGAGGGATGCCAAGGTTCTTAGACGGAAATAACTGTCTAAGAGTCAAGCTGTTCCCGGGAGAGGTAGGCTGCCTACGTCTGTGGAATGTTGAGGCTGCGTTTTGATTTTATGGAAGCTGCTCTTCACTAAATGGATTTTGAAGAAGCAATTTCTCACTGGGTGGGCAGTTACCTGGGCAGCCTCCAGGAGCTCTTCAAACTTTGATCCTCATATTAGTTGTGAACATTTGGAAAAGCATTATAGAAATTTTATGATCAGTTATAGGTACTTTTATGACTAAACTAGTGTAAAGAGGCTTTAGATTCTCTTTTTCTTGTTTTCACTTTTGCCCTAAATTCTAGTTGTTTCTTCTTAAAAAAGAAGGTATCTCTTTAATGTTGCCAGATGTTTGCCTTCCTTGGTTTTGACATATATACTTCACTAATTTCTCTAAAATTTACAATTCCGTATCATGACTATAGCCCAGAAAATCTTGCAAAGTGCATCTTTTCAACTAAAATAAATTATATAAAAACTTTGTGATTCCCCATGGGAAAATACCCTATATGTCACCACATCACTGAAGGGTGCATAATACCTTGTATTTTCAGTATCCTTATTCTTTACTTACATTTTTATTTATCTTCTTTTATTTGGATCCATGGCATTAAAGGAAGAAAGTTGTGGGAAGGAAGACAGCTGGTTCCCTCGTTAGGCATAGTGGTGCCCACACGTAGTAGTAAGTTGATCATTGAGGCCAAATTAAATCTCAGAATATTGGTCTTGACCAAGACCACTGTTACCAAGTCTGTGGTTTCAGCACAGGTTAGGAAATAAAGCAGATAATTTGTTGACCCAGGGATTGGCATTTCCCCCCATTTTGTCCTGGTGGCATCTATGCCCATATGGTAGTGGGGACACTGAGTAACCACTGTCAGTTCTCACTGGAAAGGCTCAATGAAGCTGTATGGCTAGATACGCCTCTAAACACCACTTTCTTAGAGCAAGTTAGGGAAGGAAAGGCCAGTGGGAAATACTAGTAGAACGTAAACAGCTAGTTTCTCTCTCTGATGCTCAGTGGTTACGTGTTTCCTGACATTGACTGTAACATTTCTAACAGCAGTATTATTTTCATACACAGAATGAGGCCATTTAATGCCATAGTAGTTTTACTTATTCATTTTCAAAGAGCTAATATATTTGTGTGGTTCAAAAATCAAAATGAGAATAAAAAATACACACTGAGCGGTTTGTCCCCACCTGTCTCCCTATCTACTCCCACCCCATTAGGTAATCATTTTTTAAAATTTCTTATGATTCCTTCCAGTGTTTTTCTTAATGTACAAAAAATATAAAATAGTTTTGATTTTTATTTATTTCTTACATGTTCGATTATGTAACTGTACTCCAACTTATTTAACCAGTCCCCAGTAGATGGCCACTTGAATTATTTCCAGCCTTTTGCTATTACAGAGAATGCTGCAATGAATAGCCTTGTTCATGTATAATTCTATACCTGTTGCAGGTATATCTGGAGAGTAAATTTCCATAAGTGGGATTGCTGGGTCAAGAGTAAAAGCAGTTGTAATTTTGATTAATATTGCCAAATTGCCCTCCATAGGGGATTGTCTGTTTTGCATATGTACCAGCTGAGTTTGAAAGTGCCTGTTCTTCATGGCCTTGCATGTGAAGTATGTTGTTAAACTTTGGGATTTTTGCCAACCTCACAGGGTTGGTTTAATTTGCATTTCTTGTTAAGGGGGAGGCTGAGCATAGTTTCATGTTTGTATTTCCTTTTCTGTAAACTGCCTGTTCAGGTCCTTTTTTCATTTTTCTATTTGATTATTAGTTGTTGTTTTTTTTGTTTCTAGAAGCTCTTTCTATAGTGAAAAGATTGATTCTTTGCCTGAGATAAGACTTTATTTTTTTGTTTGTCTTTTGATTTACTTATGGTGGTGTTGTTTTTTTTAATTTTAAGTTATGTAGAAGTTTTTATTTATTTTTGTGTAGCTAACTTTGTCAGGTTTTGTCTTTTTCTGGCTCATGTGTTTTGAATTCTAGTTTAAAGTTTTTCCGTACATATTTAAAAATAAATGCAGAATAATCTGAGTATACCTTTTATGTTCCCCCTTCTCCTCCCATAATATATGGGGGGAAATCACCATAAATTTGAAGTCTTTTATGCTTATATTCATGTTTTATGTGAGTGTTTGCTTTTAATTTTAGAGATGAACTTATTGGTGTCTTTAACAAATAGCCTTCTGAAAACTTTTATCTGTATGAAGCAGTTTAGGAAGTAAGCTCTTGTGGACTTCTCTGAGCACCTTGAATTTACCTTTCCGAGCAGTGTGGGCAACTATTTAAACACATCCAGAGACATTTCCTAACCCTAATTTTGGAACTGGTATAAGACAATAGGTTGCTGGACTGTAAAATTTGCTGGGGATGAGTAACTGACTCCATAAATAGCTTCATGGAACATTGCCCTTGTACATGGACTAACATGACACTATTTGCCAAGGCCAAGTTGATCATATTCAGGGAAGTGCCTTGGAGTTGAGTTTGGATTTTTTGTTTCTCTTAGTGGAATTCTTTCATACACCTTCTGCCTGAAATTTTTAAATGTTAGTTTTCCAAGAGGTGACAAAATTAAAATGCTTTATTTCACAGACTGAATTGGGCCATTTCTAGAATTAAGTTAGCAATTTGTTACACATTTACTATGAGAATTAAGGTTTGCCTCATAAATTATTCTGAGGACTGCCTATCACAGAGTAGGCCCTGCCCAAGCTGACCTTCTTGGACTCACTCCGCCCCACTGCTGAGCTGGCCCAGCCCGGCAGAAAGGATGTGCAGCACCCTACACGTAGCCGCTGGGAGGGAGTCTGCCTGCACTTCCAGCTCTTGTTCCACGTTTTGCCTCGCCAGCTGTGATGCCTTCCTTGACCAGTATTTGGCTAGAATTGTTTTAGAAGAAATTGTACCCACCAATGCAAAAAAACAATAACAAAAAACAAAGAATATAGTACAGGCTATCTTAACAAGAATTCTGTTACTGGCTATTCTGATATGAGCAGTCATTTTATGGTTTATTAGAGGCCCAATACACAAAATTTGTGCAAGGGGCTCGGCCCATCGCAGCCCTGGCTGCCTCACGGCCCCTCGGCCCCACCCACTGGTCCTTCCGGAAGGTCATTCTGCCTTCTGGTCTAATTAGCATATTAGCTCTTTATAATATAGGATAGGATGCCTTATCAACCACAATTCCTGTTCAGCTTTGCAAACTATTTTTTCATTTAAGATTATGTTCCACTTACATGATGTATGGAGTCCTGAATAGGCAGTACACAGCTTTAATGTGGATGGCACAGAGTAAGTCTTTGAAATATTTTGAAATAATGTGTGAGTGTTGTAAATATATCCTCTTTTGCATTTAATGGGCAGATTCTCATTTGAGCTGGAGTTATGTGAAAGATATTCAGGTGCATGGAAATACAATGTGGACTTATTTCAAAGCTAGAATGAACAAATAAGCTAAGAGCAACATTTTCTTTTTATCTGTTACCTGCATAATTGCATTGATGATTGTCAGGGAAGACCGATGGGTATCTGCTGTTGTCATGTTGCATTATAGAAGATAAGCTCATTTGGGAACATCTAACGTGCATGCCCCGAGATGGAGTATCTCATTCAAACCAGCCTGTGGTCCTCCTCAAAGTGGCTACTCGATAGCTTTTAAGGGCAAATAAAATGTTCTTCCTGAGTAATTGGTACCTGGATTTCTGAAACCAAATAGAGCCTGGCAGGTAGGGGTATTGGTCTTTTAGCTGAGAGGGTTACTCTAGATTGGAGCTTTTCCCTTTAGTAGAAGGGGTCTGGTTCGGAGCGCAGCTTACAGCTTTCCCTGCTTGCCACATTAGATAATGTCTTTGGCAGCTTTTCTGCTACCTTTTTTTCTCCTGTCATTCTCACATCTGTATTTTTCTCCAGTTATTTTCTGCACGTTCAGTTTTTATTTGGCATTTGGGGGTTGGGAATGTGAGGTTCCAGATATGAAATTCTACATTTTCCTTTTGATCAGCATTAACTGTTTGAAGAATATTTGGTGAATGCTGCTGTGACAATACGTGTAAATAGTAATGATGTAAGACACTCAGCTGGTTTGTATAGTGTTCACAACAGAGATCTTTGAAAAGTGGCATTAAAATATCTGTTTTCATGTTCTAACATCCAGAGTTCTCTAAGCTGCCTGAGGCTAGTTCATGCTAAACGTATGCACATTTTTCTCTCAATGCTCAGCCCGGAGAAAAACAAGGGGCCTTTCATGGGCTCTCTTTCTGCCAGTCATTAAGGCTCCTCACCCAGCCCCGCAGGAGGTTTTCTTTTCCGAGTCTTGAGCAAAAACCAGAGAAAGAAAATGGGAAATTATTTTTGCTTTTACATAAGATCACTCTGGCTCTTGTCTGGACTAAGATTGTTCAGAAGCAGAAAATAATTAACTTGAGCTAGCATTTTAATAATCTGTAGAGGCTATTTATGAATTATTTACTAACTTGTTAATTCAGCAGATACTTATTTTCTGCTGTGCGCTAGACACTGTTCTGGGTACTGGTGAACAAGGCAACAAAGTTCCTGTTTCTACAGAGTTTGTGCTTCAGTGTAAGAGATAAATAATAAACATGTTAACAGTTTATTTCAAATAATAATAAGTGTTATGAAGAAAATGAAACAGTGTGGGATAGAGAATGAGTGATCAGGGCATGTGTGAGGGGCATTCAGCTAACCTGGTAATGTCATGCCTTCCAGGGAGGAGACATTCCCGCTAGGGAAGAGGTGATCAGGAGCTAGCCATTGGCTAACTAGGGGAGAGCATTGCAGGCAGAGAAAATAGTAAGTACAACAGTGCTAACGTGTCTAAGGGGCAGAAAGAGAACCAGAGTGGCTGAAGTGACCAGAGCTCGGTAAGGAGGATGGAGAGGTAGACAGCAGCCAGATCTCACAGGACTGGGGAAGTGAATGTGAATTGATTTTTAACTGTAATGGAAACCTACTGAAGGGCTTTAATCAGAGGCATGAAATCTCATGTATGCTTTTACATAAGATCACTCTGGCTCTTGTCTGGACTAATAGAAAGACTTGCGGTTGTGTAGGGGAGAGATGATAGTGTCTTGGATTGGTGTTGGCGCTGTGGAGTAGATGAGGGTTGGTTTGTTTTGGATTATGTTTCCAAAGTAAGGGAAAGAGGGGAATCAAGGATGAGCTGGATTCTGGCCTGAGGAATTGGGTTCATTTATTGAGGAAGACTGAGGAAGGAGTGGAGTCAGCAGCGTTCGTTTTGGCCATGTACATTGGCAGTATGTGTAAATTATTGGTGATGAGGAGGCCTTTGGAACTGCATCTGACGTGCAGGGGGAAATATCAGAGCTGGAGATAGAAATCTGGGACCCATTGGGTATAGGTAGTATTTCAAGTCACAGCACCTGTATGATGATTGTTCTAGACCAGCGTTTCTCAACCTGTGGGTCGCGACCCCTTTGGGGGTCGAACGGCCCTTTCACAGGGGTCGCCTAAGACCATCAGAAAACACATATATAATTACATATTGTTTTTGTGATTAATCACAATGTTTTAATTATGTTCAATTTGTAACAATGAAATTGGGGGTCACCACAACATGAGGAACTGTATTAAAGGGTTGCAGCAATAGGAAGGTTGAGAACCACTGTTCTAGACTAAGGAGAATATACAAGGAAAAGAAAAGTGGCCAAGGACAGAGAATTGGCCAGAGCTAAAAGCTGGTGAATTGGTCGTTATTACTCATTGCTTTGATATTTTAGTCATTTGTCTGAATTATTGTCTGAGAAACTAGAGAGACGAAAATAGCATTTATGGGTAGCACAGGACCTGATGAGAACCTCTGTTATTTAATCTCTAAAGTGGAACTAGAATTTCTTCGGCGTTTGAAGATGAACTGGTTAATGTGTGTAAAGGTTCATGTTCTTCTATTGCTAGAAGGGTATTCATATTCATTATTAATGAGATTCTGAGATTTTTCAAAAGCTTTAAGCAGTTTTCAGTTTCATAATAGAGCTTTTTAGGGTAAGATTTTGATTTATCCTTTGCATTTCATATTTGAAATTTGCCCTAGTATAAGGTCACGAGGGATGTTGATAAACCCATTTAGTCTTCAAAGACATTTTAGTCTGAACTTTTAGAACCCAGTATAAGCCATCTTTGTAGATAATCTCTTCTTCATTTAATAGCCTTCTATATTTAAAAGACAGCACCCTTTAGCTAAGAATATTCAGTTTATAAATGACTCAGTTACTGTGTAAGTTTGATATGTGTTAAAATAGGTTGTTGGTTTAGAGTTGAAATGTCTGCTGTACTTTCATTATTAATTATGTCAATCTATTTCTCCTGTTGGTATGTGAAGATGTCATTCAGTTCTGCTGACTCACTCTTCCTTTTTTAACCCCCAGAGGTGACCAGTCCCGGAAGAGAGCTGGGGATGAGCTGGCTTATAGTAAGTAGTGTGTTCCTTACCATCTTGGATGTTTTGTGATGTAGATAGCCACTGGCAGTGGCCATGCAGTGAGAATAATGATACCCATAGGGGGCTCATTAGGCTCGGAATGTGACCAAGGACAGACTATTCTGCAAGCTGTGCCCAGATGAGGTCCAGCTGGTGGTGGTGGTTCTCAGGCATTTGTCAAGAGGCCGCCAGATTCTGTAGTGGCCTAGAGTGGGACAGTGACCCAGCTTCAGCTCCTGATGATCTAGCCCCCCTTTCACTCAACTCAGTCACTTTTTTAAAAACCTCCTTTTGGGCGATGAGGAGAGGGGTGAGGAATATGTGTATAGGCAGGTACCTACCATTATTAAGTGCTCTCTGCTATTCATACTTTTTCCTGTTCCGATGATTTTTTGCAGACAACTCATCAGCATGTGCGAGTTCCAGAGGGTACAGATAGTGACTGTGTTGAATGTACTTTCCTTCCTGCCACAAGGACACACTGGAGCTGCAGAGACTTTTCCGAGCACAGCGGGTCCTGCACTCAGGCGCTCTCACAAGGCTGCTCTCAGAAGAGGATGTCGGACTTCTTACTTTGATTTGTAATTTTAAAAAACAAAACAAAATTTTAACAAAATAACTGTCAGTTGCTGCTAGACTTGGGGATGATTTTGAAATAGGACAATCTTTTAATGAAACCTATTAATCCATGAGGAACAGGCATCTTGAAAAGTGACCGTTGCTAAGTGAAATCCGGCAGCCCGAATCAGCAGCTTCCTCCAAAAATATAAGAGCAGAAGAATTTTTTAAAGCACTGTTTTATTCATTTGTGGACTTGGCGCTCGGCATATTGGTTTCACACATCAAGATACCTTTAGCTTTAAAATCAAGCAGATCATTACAATACAGTATTTTTCACCCCTAACCAAAACAAACTCCTTTAAAAGAGTTGGTCTTTGTTTAGATTTAGAAAGTCTTATGAAAGGAAAATGCTAGTTCTGCTTTTGCTATACCTTCTTCCCCATTAATTCACAACTTTTTTCTACTCTGTGCCTTGAGCTTTGTGCACTTTGCAACTCTGTGACCATGTTGTCAAACTCACAGATGCTTCCTGAAAAAGCTTATGGTATCATGGATTAACCCTCCAAGATGCCAGGAGTGGCTTCATAGCAGGATGCCGAGTGAGTGGGAAAACGAAACGTCGCATATTGGTCAGATTGCCCCCGCCTCACCATGGCATATTCATGTTAATGTCAGGGACCAACTCTTATAGAACTTTTCCATTCCCTCTACCACTTAACATCGTTTCACCAGCTGCTGTAGTATTGGCATCGCACTGGTCCAGGCGTGGCCAGCACTTCAGCAATAAAGCTCCCCTTTCAATGTTGAGAATCATCCAACAGTAAAAGCTGGCTCCGGTGATGCTCTAGGAAACGGATGGTTATTACATCCCAATATAAGCAGTGGTGTGGGATTCCTGATCCATTTCATTTTAAATGGGCAGGATAAATACTTTCTTTAAAAAGTCTGTAGTCTGCATCTTGTAAACATTATATCTAAGAAGTAGCACTGCTGCGTTTGAGGCCCCCTTCCAGCTGTGGCCAAGCTGTGTTTTGTTTTTCTACACCCACAGTGCTATTTAGTTGTTTAGACTCTGCAGCTTATTCTAGCTGTTCTTGAAAGGCAAAGAAAAATAGAAAGATGTGGCAAACGGGAAAAAATTTTGTTCTCAATTCTGCTTGACTCTAAATTGAGCATTATGCTTGAGTCTATTAGGCTGTGTCAGACTAATGGTCACCTCTTCAGAGAACTTGGAGCAGAAAAAGAAGACATTAGGGATACTGTCACACTTCTGATTTGCAGGATTTTTTAAGAGTTGCCTCTGCCAATTCAGTTTTTTTTTTTTTTTTAGGGGGTGGGAGAGTTAGAAGTGTGATCTTAGGAGCAAGTAAGTCATCTAATAGAAGTCCTCTGTTTGTAAAATTACTACTCAGAGAAGTAAAAGTAAAGGTGGTCAGATTTTATTTTTCTAAGTACTTGTCAACCAGAGTTGATAGATTTTGTGGAGGACTTGAGTTAGACTTATTAATTCTGTGAGTATTTTGGATTGTATTGCTGAACACTGAATTACTGTAAGAATATATACGGGCTCTCCCTATGCCCTGAATAGTTTGATTTGCTGCACCAGTAACATTCTAGTATCAAGGAAAAATTCCATTTTACCATGAAGGCCAAATTTTACTTTCTCAATGGACTGCTTGCTGCAGGCTTATAAATAACAACTTGCAACTGAAGTCTTTCCTGAGTGGTTTTAATAATATTTCTGCAGGAATAAAATTGGATTTTTAAGAAAAATGTTGATAGGTTCTTCAGTAATTTAATAATATACCCAAATGCTTTTCTGGGAGAGACTATTGTTTGGCCAACAACAGAACTTTCCCTATAAAAGCATTGTATTATGATGTGAATTGGCATTAAAACCGTTGGATGTTTTTGCATTATTAAGTTAATGGAGAAATATTTTATATTGTCTTCTTTTTATTATAATATATGTGTAAACAAAAAGTGGGCAGAGTAAAGTCTGCGAAACTTAGTTTCTCTAAAGTTTTCGGCAGTGACTGTAGCCAGCCCTGGGTCAGGGCTTGGTCCTGCAAAGCCGGAGGAAGGCGCTGTAGGAAGAATCTACACGTCCTCCTGGTGCACGTGACCTGTGGTTTCTCATTTTCACCCCCGAGGTACATTGCAGGATGAAGAACCCATTTCTTTATTTCAAGCCAAAGTTGACCTTGCTTATTTAATTGGAGTTCTTAGCTAAATTCTTAGTTTGCAACACGAGAAGAAATAAGATTTGTCCTCCATTTTTGTTTTGACGAAGCATTGTTTGCCAGAAAGTATTTTCTCATGTTTACCTGTATTCTTGCCAGTATAGTATATCGTTTCTCCACCAGTTGACTTTTGTGGGGCCCAAGTCAGAAAATTATACATGCAGGTCGATGGTCAACAAGTTGATTTGGCTAAATTGACTAGTGTGTGTGTGTGCAGCCTAAATCTAAACCATCCACAAGAAAGCCAGTCCAATCACATTGAAGTCATGGCATGAAAAAGTGTGAACAGATGATAATGGTTCTGAGAGACGGTACTTATTTTAAAGTTGGCTTGAATCTTCAGTAACAGTGTCATCCGATGCCCTCTGTTGTCACAGCTGTACCCTAGCCCAGCAACTACTTTGTTTTTTTGTGGGGCAGAAAGCAAACCCTGACATACATAGTTCTTATGTAGAATCCGTGAGAAGAAACACCAACCTGGATGCAGGAGTTGTGCGTTACTACATTTTACATTTTTCCTATTCCTCTTACAAGTTTGAGGCAGCTCCCCTCCATTTCTTTGGGGTACAGGATGAAAACCTATTTGTGAGTAAGAGAGATTGCAGAAGAATGGACGCCCAAGGCGGTGACCACTGCACGTGCGTCCCCAGCACTGCAGCCCCCTCAAGCTGCCGGTCCTCTTGCTCCATGCTTCTCGTCGGGTTGCAGATTTGCACACACAAAGAATTCCTCAGGAAGAGTTTGCACATACATCACCTTGCAATATTCTGTACTGACTGCACAGGGATTCGAACGTCCTTCAGCACAAAGAGAACGTGGGAGTGGCGATCGGTGCACACGCGCTAGCCAGAGGTATGGTAACCCAGGGGACACGATGGTTTCTGCAGGTATGCAGTGAGCAGGAGCACTTGTATCATAGTCTTTAATAAACCCTTTACTCACCCGGGTTGGTCATCATCTTATGGAGGCTGGCTGTAATTTCTTCTGTATTTATTCTGTTTTATCACAATTATTTTCGTGATTATCATGCAAGAGTTATTGCCTTTAAGCCAAATTGTTTAGTAAGCAGCTATTGTTAAAATAACTGAACATTGTTTTAGGAGTGTACACTAATCTGAGATATTAAAAAACTTTACAACTAAAAAACCAACACAAGACAACCCACATTAGCTATCCAGTCACTGTTAGGATGTTTTCAGTTGATTTTTTTATGGTGTCTCATTGAGCTTCAGAGTATTATGTTTACTTTACTCCAAGTCTAGGCCTCTTAAGGGGACTTTGAAGTTTAAGGTCAGAATGTGAATTCCGTGACTGACACCTGTAAGAGGTTTATAGGACCTTTTTCGTTGTGTTACTGTTTTCAATATAATCGCATAAGATGAAGTTTATGTTTATTGGAAGTTAAACATAGTAGTTCATGGAGAAATGGATTTCTTATTATTTTTATTACCTTGTTGACATTTGCCTCAGTTTCTGGCCACCAGAATATAGGATGGGACAAAAGTAGGTTTACCATTGTTTGTATGTAAAATACTACAATAATTAGTAAATACTACAATAATTAATTATAAATAAATTCTGTTTCGCATACTCACAACTGTAAACTTGCTTTTGCCCCACCTGTATGTGAAAGAACCCCTATTATTTTCCAAGGAAAATGATTCCTCATCTGTCCCTACTGTTTATGAACTAAGTCATTGACATGTTCCCTCCTCCACTGGCCAAGCCCCTGTTTTGAATCTCTCCACAGCCGAGTGGCATAAGTGCATACACTATTTCTGCTTATGTTGATGTGGCTGTGGGAGAATTACAGACAGTGCTGATCAGAGGCACATTAAGACCCTGTACCCCTGCTGGTTGGGAATGATCTTCATTTCTGGTTGGACTGGATTGTTTAGGGAAATGTTAACAGCTTTCAATTCTGGGAAATTTATAGTGTGGCTCTGGGGTGGATTCTGTGGTTTGAAAAAAATAAATATTTTGTATTGATTCCCACATGTCATTTAATTTCGTGACTATGTACTAAACGCAGTAAGACTGCGGATATTCTCTTAGAAGGGCACGTTTTGTTGAACAGATGGCAGTGTGATTGTGTCATTAGTCCTGTTTGTCACTGTTGCAGCCATGCAGTCCAGGGGAGATTATTCACATGTGAAGTGGTGGGGAGATCTGGCTGGAAACGGGAATGCTAATGATGAATGGAAGGTCAAAGCAGACAGGGGGCTGTGCAGCCCACCAGCATGGCCAGAGCGAGGGTGAAGCATTGACATCTAGTCCCTGGTGGTGCTTGTTGGTTGGAAAGCGTGGTAGAGCTTAGAACAAGATGTCCTGCACATCAGCTCCTTTATAGATCAAGCAAAACGAAATGGTGGGTGACACTCACGTTGACCGGGGTTCAAAGCCACCGACCTGGGTTCTGACCTTTAACTCTTGGTTGCTTTGAATCAGTCCTTCTGTGTTAGGGTGTAGACTGTCACTCTAAAACATTGTGGTTAATGAAATCTTGTACAGATGTCCGTGGCCTTGTTCTACTGATACCTGGTTCACCGGAACTTTGTTACAGTATAGAACTTCATGATTTTTCTCATAGCACATTCATCATGCCCCCTCAGTGATAACCACACTCAGCACACGTCTGTTCTGCCATGTTCATTAGCCTGCAGTGAGTGTCCATCTTGACCTCCGTACCAGTGATGGAAAACAATGTGTGTGTATTTAGCTATATACATATATAGTATATGTACAGATGTGCATATATATATGTAGTTTTTCTTTTTTAGACACTGGATCCGTTGTGGACTTTTAATCAAAACTTCTGATTGGGTTTTTTTGCATTGATTATACCGTGCTTTTTAAAAAATAAGCCTTTGTGTTTTCTTGCTATGAAATCAGTTATTTCCCCTAAGGTTTTTTGAAATCTTACTTTACAGTTTTGTTTCCCTCGCTGTCCCTTTGCAGGTGTCCTTTCCTAGTCTTCTCAGATGCCGACTCTTGCCCTCTTTGTGAATAACCTAGGCTGTGCTGTAATGGTATCTGCTTCTGATGGCCACGCAGAGCCGGATTCGGTGACTTTACATTTTCTTTTTCTCTACATTTAAGTCACCTGACATTTTTCCTTCAGGTTTTGTTTTTTCCCCCCAAATAGGGAGCTGTTTAAGTCCTCTCTTCTATTAGCATTCTTTTTTTAACTGAGCATAAAACTTTTCTACTAGAACCAGTTTTTAGTATATATTCATGTTTGTTTATTTTCTCAATTGGCCTATTTCTCAATAATCCAAAATTCTAAAACGTTTGAATTTCAAAAAACATGATATAGTAGAAAGAATATCACATATATAATCTGAGAACAAGAGTTTAGTCTCAACTAGTTGTGTATGTTCTTGGGTAGGTTATTTTTCTGAACTTAAGTTTCTCTATATTAAGTCCACTCCCCCCGTCCCAGATTGCTAGTGATAGCGCCTCTATATATGGCAGTGGGCTTAATTTTCCAGAAGATATAGCAGTTTATTTTTCTACTTAAGTTTCTCTATATTAAGTCCACTCCCCCGTCCCAGATTGCTAGTGATAGCGCCTCTATATATGGCAATGGGCTTAATTTTCCAGAAGATATAGCAGTTCTAAGCTTATTAAAGTATGCACCTAAGTGACTAATAACATACCTCAAAATACATATAAAGAAAAAAATGACCACAACTACAGGGAGAAATAGAGTAATCTACCAACATAAAGGGTGTTTTTAACACACATCCTTATAATTAATAGATCACGCAGAAGATAAAATTAATGATAATAGATAGATTTAAGCATAGATTTAAATAGCATAGTTATTAAATTTGATCTGATATATATATAATATACATATATATTATATATATATCCCATTGTACCCTCTAATAAGAAAATAAGCATTTTTGAAAACCAAATCTAACATTGTACTTAAAATATAACCAAATTGGATTTATCTCAGGAATGCAAATTGGTTAGTATTAGGAAATCAATTAATGTGTCTCATCTATTAATGGATTAACATTGCATGATCAGATTGTCTATGAAAATCCAAAGAGCCTACAAGGCAAATTAGAAGACTTGAGACTTTATCAAAGTTGCTAGAAGAAAAGCAACATGCAAATGGCAATTATGTTTTCATGTACCAGCTACAAGCAATAATGGCTTTAAACTTTTTAAACATAATTAATAAAAATTACAGTAGGAACAAAATATAAAGTACCTAAGAATGAATTTTAATAAAAGGTATAGCCTTTTAATGTGAAAATGATTATTTTAAAAAAAAAACACCTTTACTGGCCTAAATGTATGGAGAGACTGTGGTGGATAAGATCATGTAGGTCTCACCTGTGCCTACAAATTGGGTAATAAATTAATGCAATTCCATAAGTGATTCCAACGGTTTTCATTGTGGTACTTGACAAGTTGTTCCTAAAATATAAATGGAAGACAAAGGACCAAGGATATCCAGGACATTCCTTAAAAAGAGTGAAAGGAAAGTAGCACTCCCCTCAACAGTAAAACGTAACACAAATATAGTGGTTAAAACAATGGAAATGGCACAGAGGTTATGAGTAGATGAATAGGAAGAAAGGAAATTCTTCACAAAGGAAAAGAACGAATTGGACCTCGACCTTCCACCAGGGACAAAAGTCGGGTGGATCAGAGGATTACATAGGAGACGTAAATTTGTAAAACTTTTACAAGGCAATAGAGAAGCAAATCGTTAACTCAAAGATAATTTTTTGGCTACATTGATAGTATTTTGGTTTACCAAACATGCCACAGAGTGAAAAAATGAGCCCACACTGGAGTAGGAGACAGATCATCACATAAGGACATAACAGAGCACCTGAGTGCAAATCTAACGTAAGCAATGTGGGAGAGAAATGAGCAAATAACACAAGCAGGCATTTCATAGAAGACAGGGAAATGGCCCTTAAACATGAAACGATGTCCAACTTCATTAGTTGCACATTGAAATGCATATTGAAGCCATAAATACCATTTTCTAGCCACCAAATTGGCAGCAACTAAAATGTTAGAAAATACCAACAATCGGAGAGATTGTGCCAATAGGAACTTTCATCTGCTACTGTGGGCGTGTCGATTGGCACTACCTGCTTTGGAAAACAGTATTTTCTATGACGTTGGACACAGGCATATCTTACAGTCCAGGATTTATGCTGTTAGAGAAACTCCTGTGTGGTGTATATACCCAGGACACGTGTAGGGAGTGGTCACAACACCATTATTTGTAATAACCAAAAAGAAGGGAAGGAGAAAGCCAAATGCCATCTACAGTATAATGAGTGAATGAAGTATATGTGTGCAGTGGAACTCTATGGGGCAGTCAGGGCAGCTGAGAGCTTTGTACACGAGCACAGGTGAATCTCGGATCACGCTGAGTAAAAGAATCATGTCGGAGAAATACAGCCAGCATGGGCACCTTTGCTTCAAGTTCCCAAACAGGAGAAACTTATAGCTTTGGGATTCATAAATAGTAAAAGTAAAGAATGAACAGCATTCAAGATCTTGGTTTCCTTGAGGGGTGGGGGGTGGGGGGTGAGCTGAAGAGCCCGGGGGCCTCTAAGCACTTGCTAATTGGAACACTATGACATGTCAGTTCTTGAGTTAATGCGGTGCATTCAGTGCAGAGCCAAAACAAATACCAACAAGTATTTCAATATAATTAAAACCCACCATGTACATTTGAAACTAATGTAATATGTCAGTTATACCTCAAAAAAAATTAGAAACCTAAATGCCCAACAATAGGGATTGATTAGATTGTAGTGTGCCCATATAATGGTGGCATTAAATGGTCTTGTAGAAGATTGCATAATGAATTTATCGGATGAATATTATGAAAGGAATGCACAGAATGGCTTTTCAAAAAAATAGATCATTGTTATGTGTTTTAAGCAAATATATATGACTTTAAAAAATCATATGGAAGTATAAACATGAAAGTAGGAAAACCTTCATTGAAAGGGGAATAAAAGGAAGTTAGCTGTACCAAAAACAAAAGAATAATGTTTTTAAAAGAAAAATTAATTTTTTACACTGGTGCAAAAATAGACAAGTTAATGGAAAACGGTTTTAAAAATAGACCCAAATACTTTTAAGATGGCTTTTTGAAATAATTGCAGCCATGATGGATTATTCAGGAAAAGGCATTAGTAGAACTGGAGAAAATTAAATTGATTTCCTATTGCACCATTCACCAAAGCCAATTAAGTTATAAAAAGCTAGGAGACACGTAGTTAATATTTTCTTGGGGCTGGAGAAGTTTGTTCCATGCATACACGCAATGACAAACAACTCTGCGTAAACCAGTCACCTGACCACATGCCGCTGAGCGCCGCCCCCAGTATGTATGTGTATGTAACATGTACATGGACCTTTTAAAATTAATATCCATGTACTATGCTAATATATGTAAGAAAATAGAAAAAGGACGAGGTTAAATGTTTTAAAATATTTTTGTGTGTATTTATGGTTGAAAAAGCACCTTTTGCTCTTTATAAAAAATTTTCCTTTTAGTGAGAGCCTTATGATTTAAAATGTCTCATTATTGCTCTAGCCAGTTTGGCTCAGTGGATAGAATGTCGGCCTGTGGACGGAAGGGTCTCCGGTTTGATTCCAGTCAAGGGCGTATGCCCAGGTTGCGGGCTTGATCCCCAGTAGGGGGGTATGCAGGAGAGGCAGCTGATCAGTGATTCTCTCTCATTGCTGTTCCTCCCTCTCCCTTCCTCTCTCAAATCAAATATATACTAGTATATGCCTCATTATTTTTGCAACTTCTGGTTTTAACACTTTATGATGAAGACAATTTAATGTCTGGTTCCAAGGTAAGTTTATTTTCATGGCTGTTGTAGCTGAAAAGGCGACTTCATTACAGTCTGTGGTTCCAAATGACTGCTCTACTGAAAAACAGCTCATTTCCAATTCCATCCGCTAGTC